ATATATAATTATCATAAATCACATAATGGATCTTTTGATCTCGCATTAGATGTAGGAACTGGTACAGGACAAGCCGCAAACATTTTATCGGATTCATTCAATAAAGTTTATGGTATTGATTTATCACCAGTGATGTTACAAAATGCAATTTGTAAACCGAATATTCAATATTTAGTTGGAAAGGCTGAAGATTTATCTTACTTTAAAGATTCTTCAATTGATTTATTAACTGTAGCTGGAGCTTTTCATTGGGTTGAATTAACAAATTTTTTTCAAGAATCTCATCGTGTGTTGAAACCAAATGGAACCTTAGCCATTTGGGCTTATAAGTATGGTATTTTTAAAAATGCGCCTATTGCAACTAAATTATCAAGAGACTTCCGTATGAATCTTATGGCCCCTTATTTTGAGAAAGGTATATATACAGTCAATAATTTATATCAAGATATTAAATTTCCTGAAGAATTCTATCAAAACGTTCAACGGGAAATACATGATGAAGAAAATAATGATGATAAAAGCCAACATATTGCAGTTAATTGGAATCTTACTCAATATGGAAATTATTTGAGGGTATGTTCTTTTTTATTTTTTAGAAAAATAAATTTAAAAAAGTTAATTAAAATACATGTATTTGTTTTTATTTTAAAGACATTGAGTTTTTATACAAATTATTTGGAGAAAAATCCAAATGCAGAGGATCCTGTCGATGAACTAATTTCTAATATGAAAGAAGCTGAAGGTTGGAATGGTGATGAATTGTTGCCAATATCTTTTTGTAGTGTATTGATTTTGGCTGAAAAGAAATCATGATTATAAATTCATTTAAATATTAAAAGTATTTAAATAAGAAGTTCCTGTTAGTAGTGGTATGATCAAATCTTTAGTTGAAAAGCCAACTAGTTGACAACCAACAAATCGATTAGAATTTTTTTTTAACTAATGCTAACGGCTAGTTATTTAGTTGTTTAATTAGGTGGAGTAATGGTCTCTAATTTACCTGTTTAATTGATTAAATTCAGTGTATAACTTAACATTATTTTGGTTTCTTATAAAGATTTTAATGATAACAAACTATTAAATTAATTTAGTCGCGACTATATTTGCATTATTATTAAAAATACCATAATTTTTGATGATGAATAACTTTTGACTTAAAATGTGGTTTAAAGGTCGTGCACTTAGAGGCAGTGTTTTACATTTTTACTATCCCAAGCTTTTTTGCTATGTCACAACGTCCCAAAATGTCCCAACTAAGTCCCAAGTTTTAATAATTAATAAGTTAATTTAAAAAATATATAATTATATATTTTTTTAGGTTTGAATATATTTTTTAAAAAAATTAAAGTAGATTATCTTAATAACATTTTGAGTAATTTTAATTTATAAAATTGTCCCAACTGTCCCATGTACAACACTGCTTAGAGGTCTGACTGTATTTGGGCCAGAATTTGAGTGTGCATTTAGAGAGAGTATGCACTTATAGAGGGTGCATTTAAAGAGGTCTGACTGTATAATAATGATTACGTGTCGACATGACGCATATATTAAAATCGAATAAATTAATGTAGTTATCGCGTCAAACCTATTCCCACCTTAAAATCCATCTCCTACCGTTATAAAATTTATTTTAAAATCGATCTATTGATGATATATCTCTTAACGTCGAAAATATATGTCGTGCATTTTATTAAAATTTAACTGCAGACGTTTTTTAGGGTTAAGGTGAGTGCCTATGCTGGGCATTAGCGAAAATATAATGATTTTAATCTGATGCAGGTTTTAATTTGACGACAAAAAATAACGTTGATAAAAAAATATCGATGGCTTATTATGAACAAGTAATTTAATTCACACTAAACGTACAGAAGTATGTGTTATATGCTGTATCGTAGTGTAAAAATGCGCTGTAATGTTGCATCGTACAACATTGTATAAAAATGCTATGTAATTTGTTTCATCGAAAAAAAAAAATGTCGACTTTCTCTAAAGTTAATTTTGATAGTAAAAATTATTTCTCTTACCGTCCCATGTACGTGAGTTTTTTTAATCTTTTTATTAATACAAGTGATATGAAATTTATAGAATTTTAATTTATATATATATATTTATATTTATATATTAGTTATACGCAAATTTTATTTGAAAAAATATATAATTATCATAAATCACATAATGGATCTTTTGATCTCGCATTAGATGTAGGAACTGGTACAGGACAAGCCGC